GTGCGTGTGCGTGTGCGTGTGCAGTGGGGGCGCTGGGAAAAAAATAATGAGAATCCAACAGAATGAGAAGCCAACAGCTAACACCAAGTCAGTCATCAGCAAAAAATACCCAGCGGTGGATGGGGAAATGAGGGTGAAAAATGATGACTGAATGGCTTGCCTCAGCTGGCAACTAAAAGCTTATCTATTTCACATCATGTTTGAGACTTATTGTGGTTGTTGGGCCCTAACTACAGAGAAGCAAAACAGACACAGAGGTAAACTTGTCCCTTTCCTGTGCTTCCCACTGCTCATGGCTTAGGAGGGGGGGGGGTAAGGCTTGACAGATTGATGGCTCAATTGTAATGCTATGAATGTCACACTGGGGAGAGGAAGGAGTTGATACAAGCTCGAGTGAGGCTCAGGCAGCCACTGACAGGAATAATCAACAGAACCGGGTGAAAGTGAAGAGAGGGAGAGAAACAGAGAAAATCTTAGAAAAAAGGCAAAGAAAAACAGAAGGAAACATATGAGGAGAATGCTATTTAAGCCCTAGTTTATAATGGATTTGATTTCTTACTGGACCTGCTACAATTGTTAACAGTTCACCATCTGTCATGATCTGAAACTCTGGAGTACAGAGGGCGGGTTCAATCCCCTCCGAGGCACAGCTTTTGCTTGCCCTGTGTTCTCATGAGTGTGTGTAGCTGGTCACTGATCCCCCAATCTTACGGCCTCTTAGCTGTATTTAGAGTCATATTAACGGCCTCGTCCGGGGCTACAAGATTGAGGATATTTTTGGGACTTTAAGAGTAAAGCTGAGCTGATCCTGAGAGAGGATTTTCACTTTCACTTGTGTGAAGTCACTAATGTAGGCAACAAATATGAATTGTTTTGACGATTTCACTGTTATAATTATAAAGCTATGGTGAAATATGCTGTTGTATGTTACAGTAAAATATCCCAATATGGCTCTCAGGGCCTACCAGCTAATTGCACGATAATAGCCTCAGTGGGGATCAGTTGTTCTGCTCCACTATCTGAGCCAAGTGTGTGAGTGATTTTTTTTTGTTTGGAGAATTGTCTCAAATTACAATCAGTTTAGTGTTGACGAGGCAACCCGTTAATAGTGGCTGTCTGAGGCTAACGTGCTGCTACAGTAATACATGTTCAAGGCAAATCAGCATTAACTGTCCAAAGTAAGTGTGCACATATCTCAATCAGTTCAACTCTCCCTCCACTTCACTGCTTCTGGCTGAAGTCCACTCTGTAGTGTTGCTGATTTTATGGTATATTGGTACCCTTTTCATCCTTCTTTCTCTCCCCCTCTCACACCCAGTTACAAACTCACATAGGTACACAGAAAGAAGGATTTATGGTCAGACTCTTACACTAAGCCATTGATAACAAACTGTCTGTCTTGGGTTGTGCTTGTTTTACGGATCTAAACAAAACAATAAAATATCCTGTTAGGTCTCAAGTGAGATTTGCTCTGACAGGTGGTCACAGGCGTTCAGAGACAAATGATTTAGACAATAAACTCTGTAGTTTTAAAGAAATGTTGACGGAAAAAGAATGGGTCTCTGACACAACTGCACGTACTAGCAGAGATTTATGAATGCATTTTGACACAGACGGATCATAAAGGGGTTCACTGCAGTCAAAGAACTCAGTCATCCCAACACAAAGCAAGTCTAGCATACAAGACAGGGTTCACCCTTACGCTGTACATTCACAAGTCAGTACTTGTCAAAAGTCAAAACTGTTAACCGACACTTGCACTTCCACAGCAAATCCTAGTGAAATGCTTGATTCTGGATCTGTGGAGCCACATTTAAATCATTTTTGATGCTTATAACAGCGTATTTTAGAGATTCCTCAGCTGTAAAAAATCCTGTTGTTTCTATGACGCTTTTGATATTGATATTGATTAAAGACAATGGTGCACTTATAGTACATACACATACATTTACAGCAGTGGTTCCCAACCTGGGGGGTTGCCAATACTTCATGGGGGGTCGTGAGGCCTTATTGATTTTAAGACGTGCTAGGAAACTTAAAAAATATACACAGTAGGCCTATATGTCAGCATTTGGTACACTTCAGTGAAAGAAAAAAGTAAATTGTTTAATAGAGCAATGGCCAAATGTCCTGGACAATAAAACAATGAATTAGTGACAAAAGAAGCCTATGAAGTATGTAGGATTGCTAAACAAGTTATAAGACACACGAATAAATACATAAGAGAATTGTATAAAAATTTCCCTATAGAAGAAATAATTTGCTCAAAATTCATCCAAATCACTCGTTTTACACAAACTTCTTGCAGTTACCAAGTTTACTATTATTTGGGTTCATTGTACGGTTTTAAATAAAACATAAAATATCCATAAAATACGTCACTTAGTCAGGGGTCATCAGTTTACTCAATGATATAAAGGGACAGTACATGATTGAATATGGTTTTAAGGTTCCAGTGACAAAATATTCTGTATACCTGCACCCTTTTTTTTTGTGGTTCTGGGTGGGATAGATACTAAAGTTCGCACTAATCGTAATAACATTTACATCATAAATAAAACCTTTATCTTGAGATGAGTTGGAAAATCTTTGCCAATAGTAATTCTAATCAGTCTAAATTCATCAAATTCAACAACAATTAGCATTAAATCTCTGATACATCTTGGAGTATGAGGGTGAGCTGTGGGATTTCTGCCCTCGGGGCCTACATCACCCCTCCATCATCCCTCATGCATTTCTAATTGTACTCCTTAATATTGTATATGGTGTCATTGGTGCTTTAATACTGGCTACATTATATCATGGATATGGATATATATATAATATATATATATATATATATATATATATATATATCATGTTACAGTGTCGGATGTTGGTAATAAATGAGTCCAATGTCTCAAATAATGAGATAAACACATGAAGAAAGTAAGATTTCAGACTGCTCTGCTACTTTACTTGACTAGCTGCTGTAAGATTGTCACAGCGGTTAATAAATAAGATTTTTTCTGAAAAGTGAATCATGCAAGGTTTTTCTAGTGGAGTCTCCGACTAAGAATATATAGCTGGAAATGAGCATAATAATTCACCTTAAGGCACAAGCACGTCTGAAATTTTTTCATCCATCCAGAGTGATGCCCCTCATGGAGGGTTTAAAGGCAGTGCAGCAGCCAAAAGAAAGCAACACCCCCCCTCCCCCTTACCAATGGATGCATAATATATGTCTTATGCATTTGGATGATACTTTTTTTAGGTTAACGTGTGGTACAACAGTCTAAGAATTATATCTACAGTGTAGTGACTATAAACCTGGAACTGCAAGTGGCTCCTCAGAACGCTTCAAAGCTAAATTATGTGGTTCTTTGTCTGGATGATTCAATTATTAAGATGCTCTTTGCTGACATTTAATGAGCCTGACCTTTTGCTTCCCTCTACGTCCCTTTCATTTGAGCATCCGTGCCAGACTGCTGTTGAGAATACTCTCTCACTCTTTTCTTCCATTACAGAGCAAGTTTGGCTGTCACTCTCTTGTTAGTAAGTGACTTTATTTAGCTTTTGAAAGCAAAGCTGAATCAAAGCTGAAAAGCAGTTGTATACACACACTTTTATGTACTAGAAAAACAGAGATTGTTATACAAATGTGGAATTCAAACAGCTGCTCAGGAATGGTTTGGTCTTCCTTTGAAATTTCAGTATGCCAGCCAGTACTAGTGTACATCTCTTCTTTTGCGTTAATTAACTTTTTATTTCGTCTTTCTGAGGAAAGGCCTTAAAAAAACATTGAAAACATGGTTTTAATCTTGGCATCCATTCAGATATAGACCTGCAAAGTAATCACACTGATTAAAAGAATCAGTACTTCTACTCTGGATGAAGTTTGTATGGCAGTTTGCAGTCTACAGCTATGAGAGGGGAAACACTGTTATGACAAACAGCAGATCAATCACTGGAAGCCACTGTATGTGCAACTCATTTGAAGAGCTACTCTGCATTTCATTGCTGTTCCACCCCACCAGGCCTTAAGCAAACGTTTCAGTGAGCCATTCATTTTAATCAAAGTATGTAACACATGACCAAAACCGCATGTAGTCATTTTCTGCAAACCTGGATGCATGGGCCAATGTTGGTCATGGTTGCCTTGTTTTCCAATTTTTCTCACAGAAAAATGCTCCTCCAGCCAGCTTTGTCCATCAATTTATCAATCTAGTTTATAATGGCTGTTATTATGTCGAGAGTCCTAATTATGGCGGGTCCAGACACACCATGCATGTTTTCGACCCAATCCAATCACCAGACAAGAAGTCAATGACAGCTTTTTTTTTTAATTCTCACTTTATACAATATCTGTGGATGGAAACTACTGTGTGATGAAAGTTGGGGAAAAGACCATGGTTATGGCAAATAAACTACAGTAATAGTTCTCAGCAAAAATAATGTTTTCATAATAACGTTGATATAACTGATATATAATATATATTATTTATAGCGAGAGAGATATAGAAATATATAGATGGGTAGAGAGGGGTAGATATAGGTAGATGTATATGGATACTGTTGCAGCTAGTGTTTGAGATGCATGTCGAGTTCCAGGTATGATATAACGTTGCAAAGTGGGTAAATAGATCCCGTAAGTCAATTTGAGAAGTCAGAAGATTCAGTGAAGGTATAA